TTCACATAAATTGTGTTTATCCACCAAATTTGTTCAATGGTTGTAATTAGCTCAGAGTCAATCAATGCAAAACACAAAAACAAATAAACTGTAAACAAGTCTGGCAGTGTCACACTTTCAGTTCCGAAAGGGCAAAAAGAACATGGGTGGGCAACAAAATCAGGTGCGCAGTTTGAACTTTGAAAAGGGCTATATCGGTAAAAATGGCTGTGGTCCGCATGTGATTTTGTTGCCCTTCTCAAACACGGCGCGGGAGTTAGTTGCCCTTTTCAAACTCGGGGCGCGAGTTTGTAGCCCTTTTCAAACTCGGCGCGCGAGTTTGTTGCCCTTTTCGAACTCGTCGAGCGGGTAAAAATGCTTTTGTTGCTCTTTTGAACTCGGTGCGCGAGTTTGTTGCCTGTGTGATTTTGTTGCCCTTTTCAAACTCGTTTGTGTCACAACGGAACTTACCCCCCAAAAAAAGGGCCTGAAGAGTACGATTCATGGTAACCGGCCAGACGTCTGGACCGGAATCCAGACGGTCCGGTTGTCTGGGTTTGGGGGTCCGGTGTCCGGTTCGGTGGTCTGGATTGGGCCCAATTTTGAAAATTTTGAATTTCTTTTTAGGGGGGCCTAGGACGTTTTTCGGGCCCTAGGACACCCCCAAAAAATGCCTCCAGTATTTATTGGCAGTGTCAGGGCCTACCAGACACCACCAGACGCCTCCAACAGCTCCCTCTGCTGTTGTAATACGGTGCTAGTTCATTGGAAGAGGATGAGCCCGATTCCGAAGATAGAGCGCTGGCTGCAAAGCGCCACAGAACGTAGAGAGAGAGAGAGAGAGAGAGAGAGAGAGAGAGAGAGAGAGAGAGAGAGAGAGAGAGAGAGAGAGAGAGAGAGAGAGAGAGAGAGAGAGATGACGTTGGTCAGATCTGAGTTCCTGTCTTAGATCTGGACCTGGCCAGATCTCAGATCTGTTCTTACGCAGATCTGAATAACTTAACAGTTTAAATTTCAATTTTCATATGAATATGAATTAGAAAGTCTAACTTCAAAGTTCAAAGTTCTGTTTCTTTCTGATTTTTGTTCACAATCGGGGCCTGTGCCCCACTGGTCTTCTATGCTTTCGACTTCATACCCCTTTCCAGGGATAGGAGGTCCAAACTGCGCTGGCCTATCAGGAAATGCATCAGCCGGGCTGAAAGGCAGCAGCTTTGAGGCATGAAAGACTGGATATGAGGGGGTACAGCAAGTACATAGGAAGGTCCAAATGGATCTGCCCCCACAGTATGAAGTACCTGCCATGGGCCATAGTAAACATACAACAACTTTCTTGAGATATCCTGTTCGTCAGTTAGCTCAGATCTTTTCACCCAGACCCAGTGACCTGGCCGTATGGTAGAGGGAGAGTGATGCTTGTTAGCCTGTTCAATCATCATCTTCTGGGCCTTGAACATATTAGTTCTACCTTTCTCTCGGTCTTTTTCATAACTCTTGGTGAACTCTGCAGTGCCAGGAGTTAGTTTAGGCTTAGACTTATCAATGAGATAATCTAGAGGCTGTCTAGGGTCTTTGGCAAAGTGTAGCCTATAAGGTTTAAAGTCTGTAGTGTTGTGAACAAATGTTTTATGCATCAGTTGTGCCCTGGACAAATGTTTGTCCCAGTCCTGATGATCAGGCATAATCAAAGGACACAGCAGCTGAAACAGGACCTGATTCGTCACTTCGGCCTGTCCATTGGCTTCAGGATGTCTCCCAGAGGTCATGTCCAGTCTGGAATGCAGGTAGTCTTTGCAGAAAGACTGCCAATCGTCGCAGCAGAATCTGGGGTCTCTGTCACTGACAATTGAGGATGGGCACCCATGGACATTTACCCACCTCTCACAGAAAAGCTCTCTGACCAGAGGTACTCTGGCCTCAACAGGTAAGGGGATAAACTCAGCATACTTAGAGAATCTATCAATACAGACCATTACCTGTCTCTTCCCACGTGGCGGGGTCTTGCCCAAATCTGTGAAGTCAAAGGACACAGCCTCATCTGGACCATCAGGGATAGGTAGAGGCTTGAGTAGTCCCATTGGAGGCCGCCTGTGGACCTTATTCCTCTGGCACAACTCACAAGTCTCCAAGTACTGCAGGATATTGTCCTTCATCTTAGACCAATCGAAACGTTGGGTCAGAGCAGCATACGTCCTTAGGAACCCAAAGTGACCACGAGCATCATGACTCTTTGAAACCAGATGAGTAATGATATTGCGATCATTAGGGATACATAGATGCTCTTCCCCCTCGCTGATTGTGTACAACAAGCCTGAAGCCAAGGCATAGCCTGACTCAGAATTGGGGCCGGTCTGTAGATTCCTAAGGATGGGGCCGAAGACTGGGGCCTGAGTCAACGCATCAGCAATGGACTGTCTGGTGGAATCAGCAAAGGAGTAAGTATCAACAATGGCAACAAATAAATTCGGTGTACGCGGCAGTGCATCAGCAACCCTATTATAGCATCCCTTCTTGTGCTTCAGTTCAAAGTCAAATCCGTCAATGAACTGAATGTACCTTACCAGTTTATCATTTAACTCACCTTGGGTCTTCATTCACTGTAGAGTGATGTGATCAGAATAGATCTTGAAGTGTCTCCCAAGCAAGAAATGTTTTCACTGTTTAAGGGCACAAACGAGAGCATACAGTTCCATTGCATAATGTAACATGCGAGAGGCAGAGGAGAGAGATAGAGAGAGACGAAGGAGAGGAGAGTGAGAGAGAGTGAGAGCACACACACACACTCACTCACTCGACACGACTAATGGACTCGATGGACGAAGACAAAGTAGCAAAGTCACAAAGTCGAAGTCTTCAATTCTTGATGTCGGAGGGGCGAGTCACACTGAGCAAGCACAATAGTTGAAAGTTGGTTGCCCGATAGTATGGACGGCCAATGTATATATCGGTTGGCCGTGCCAAACGGAGACCGGGACTCCAAGGCCCTGGGTGTGAAACTGCAAAACGGGGATTTTGGGAGTGGCGCCAAAACGGGGCTGCAGGAAACAACGAAAAGGCTGCAGGCGGGCTTGTGGCCCTCAGACCACGGATCGAGCCCTGGCTGGTTCGTAAGACTATCCCCTCCCTCTGGAAGGCAACGTCCCGGCTGCCAAAGACCTAATGAAAAACTATAGAGGACGGGATGGGACTGATCACTGGTCAGAAAAGGAGAAGGGGAGTAATGCAAGTAAGAGGGTAATCTTACCGATGTTCTACAAGGGTGAAGGTATCAATGTTCAGGGAACAGGGTAGTTGAGGTTCTGCAAGGTGGAAGTAACAGGTAACAGGGCAATACTATTGATGTTTCCACAGGGATGAGGGTAGCAATGTTCAAGTAACAGGGTAATCCTATTGCGGTTCTACAAGGGTGAGGGTAGCAATGTTCAAGTAATAGGGTAATCCTATTGGGGTTCTACAAGTAACAGGGCAGTCCTATTGATGTTCTGCAAGGTTATAGGTTGTCAAGGTTGAGAAAAATAAAAATAAAAGATGTTGGTTCAATGCTCAAGGGTTGGGGTGTCTGAGGGATCTGTGAAAACAAAGTCTCAGGTCTGTAACAAAATGTCAAAAAGAAAAAAAAGGTCTTGAAAAAGGTCTTCGAAGGTCTTGATCAGATCCAAAGTAGGTGAGAGAACTGGTCTTCAGCGGCTGCAACAGGTAGTTGTCGAATATCCAAACTGCAGGAAAGCGAAGGAGTACAAGTGTCCAAAGTCCAAGTGCTCGAGTGCGTCCGGTTCAAGGAGGTCTGATCCGGTAGCAAGGAAATCACAGACTGATGCAAAGGTCCAGATCACATGTCGCTGCCCCAGTAAGTTCGCGAGTCCAGATGCCAGCCAAGGAAACAGCATGGTGGTCAAACCAGTTGCATTGTGTCCATGATCATGAGGCAGCAGGCCATCGTCCTCGTGCGCTTGCCATTAGATCCTTTATCGTCGGCGTCACGCAGGTCCACAACCATTGGTCAAGAGAGACAGAGAGTGTGGTAGAGGACAAATGGAAAGGACTAGGTTGAGGCAAGGGCGGATCAGACAGCGAGAGATCAAGATCAAGGGTAGGGGTTAGGTTGGGTTCAGGGGTGGTGTGTGTAGAGTAGGTATGTACAGGTCGAGGCATAGGCAAGTAGATAGCTATTATACAAGGTGGGTACGATCATAGGCACGAACAAGTCTCATGGTGTTCCTTAGATTTACAAGGGGTTCCCATGTTGATTCTTCATCTGGGTATCCAGTCCATTTTACTTTGTATTCTGTGACAGGCTCGAGGTGGTTGAATATTTGAGTTGTTCTACGACCGATTATTGATTCCACAGAGAATTCAGGGCCGATGGGAAGCATGATGGGTGATGGACGAGGATGAGGGCGATTAGAGAACTGAGGAGGTGATTCGTGGAATTCTTTCAAGTATTCTACATGGAAGACAGGATGGACACGATTCATGTCAGGAGGAAGTTGGAGCTTGTAGTTTACAGCGGAGGTTTGTTCAATGATGGGGAATGGACCGAGAGCCTTGTTCGGGATCAAAGCGTTTGGTGAAAAGCCAGACTTTGTCCCCAACATGGAAAGTGACATCACGAGGATGTTTGTTCGTTTGTTTGGCTTGTTGTTCCTGAGTTCGTTGAATAGATTCGGTGGCTTCCCTTAGGAAGCGGTTCATTGTTGCAACCCATTCATTGAGGGAGGGACATGGAGTAGATGGGTTGAGCTGCGAGGGGAGCAAGACGTCAGAGGGCAAGCGAGAATGGTAGCCAAGGTCGAGGTAGAAAGCAGACATGCCAGTGGAGGGGCAAACAACGTTGTTGTAGGCGATCTCAGCGGCGGAGAGGAGCTGGTCCCAGTCGTGCTGATGGGGATGTCAATACTTCTGGAGGATGCGTTGGAGAGTATCGTTCATCTTCTGTCTGGCCATCAGTCTGGGGTGAAAAGCATTGCTGTATTTTAGCGTGGTCCCGTATTCCTTGACGATATTTCTCAAGAACTGTGAGAGGAATCGAGAGTCACGGTCGCTGATGATGTTTTCGGGGAGACAGTGATGGTGGGTGACGTGGTCAAAGAAGAGTTTGGCGACGTCCTTGGCTTGGCAGGTGGTGGTGCAAGGGATGAAATGGGCGCGCTTGGTAAGGCGACAAACAATGACATAGATGCAATCGTGACCATGGTCGGTCGTGGGGAGACCACAGACGAAGGCCATGGAGGTGGGTATGGGAAGAGACTGGAGTTTTCCAGCCTTGGCTTGGTTGGAGTGCTTGACGGCTTGGCAAGTAGGGCAAGAACGAATGTAGGCTTTGATGTTGGCAAGGAGCGAGGGCCAATAGAGGTAACAGGAGATAGTGTCAAAGTCTTTCTGGAAACTGAGGTGTCCAACAGTCTTGGAGTCGTGATGCTCAACCAAGAACTAGGTACGGAGACCACAGGCGGAAGGGATCCAAAGGCAGCGGGTTCCTTTGGTGTCGATGTAGAGGAGATGGTCGATGAGGGAGTAGTCAGTTACAGTGTCAAGGTCACGGAGTTTGGTGTAGGCAGGGGCAAAGTCCGAGAAGGAGGCGTAGCCATGGATGAAAGGATGTTGAAGAGATTGGGGGAGGTTGACATGAGTCATGGCAGCGAAGACTTTCTCAGGGGGCTTGTGATCGGGTCGGCGAGAGAGGGCATCGACAACACAATTGGTCTTGTCGGGAGTATGGCAGATGGTGAAGGTAAACTGGGCGAGAAAGTCTAGCCAGCGGGCCTGGCGAGGGTCGATATCCTTTTTCGTGAGGATACTAGAGACGACGGTGTTGTTGGTGCGAATGGCGAAGTACTGGCCATCGAAGTAAGGGCGCCAGACTTTAAGGGCATAGATGGCGGCGAGGAGTTCCTTCTCATTGGAGGGATAGCTCATCTCAGCAGCGACGAGCTTCTTACTCGCGAATGCAATAGCGTACTCGGCGGGAGGTGCTTCGGATCGTGTGGGGGAATCCTTGATGGTGGGGGGGTCGCGAGGAAAACGTTGGGATAGAACGGCGCCGAGGGCAAAGTCAGAAGTATCTGTGGTAACGTAGAAGTGGCAAGAAGTTGCGGCGATCTTGAGAACAGGGGCAGTAGTGATGAGGTGTTTGAGCATGTCAAAGGCGACTTGGCGGCGTTCGGTCGATGTGAAGGACTCGGTGGCACGGGTGAGCTCATAGAGTGGATAGGCGGTGTCAGAGAAGTTTTGGATGAAGGGGCGGTAGTAGTTAGTGAGTCCAATGAATGACCAAAGTGGGAGCAAGGTGGTGGGAGGTGGGAACTCGACGAGAGCGACGACCTTTGAGGGGTCCATCCGGATACTTTCCGCACAGACAATGTGGCAAAGGTATTCCATGCTCGAGGCGGCAAAAGTACATTTGCTAAGCTTAGCGGAGAACTTTTGCTCGCGGAGGATGGAAAGTACCTTCTTGATATGCTGAAGGTGGGACTCGAAGGTGGGACTGAAGACAAGGATGTCGTCGAGGTAGATCACGACACAAAATTCAAGGAGATCACGGAAGATGTGGTTGATGGTGGACTGGAACATCTTTGGGGCATTTGTGAGGCCAAAAGGCATCACAAGGAACTCGTAATGCCCAAAGCGAGAGCAGAAGGCGGTCTTGTGGGTATGTTCCTCGTGAATGCAGATCTGGTGGAAGCCACTGCGGAGGTCAATCTTGGTGAAGTATTTGGCTCCATGGAGGCGATCAAGAAGTTCAGATATCCGGGGGAGTGAATACTTATTCTTGATCGTGATCCGGTTCAAGGCGCGGTAGTTTGTGCACATGCGGAGCCCTGGGGTGCTGCTCTTTTTAACAAAGAGACAACTGGCTTCGAAGGGGGATGAGCTAGGCTTAATGATTCCTTTTTCAAGGACTTCATTGAGCTGGCGCTTCATCTCTTCGGCCTTAGGGACGGAGAGTTGGTATGGAGGGTGGCAAGGAGGACAATGGTCGGGTTCGAGGTCGACAGTGTGAGATACACCACGATCGGGTGGCAGGCCGGCGGGCAAGGACTCAGTCCTTGAATTCTTAGAGGAGAGAGGTGATGCATGGGTTGGATGGTGGGGCTTGGTTGGGTTTGTCCGTTGGGATCAGGTCCTCGGGACGTTCACAGTCGATGACGAGGCAATAGTAGGCGGAGTCAGGGTGTTGCCGAGACATGTGGAGGAATTGGTGGGGGGAGACGGGGGGTGGGGTGGTAGGAGGAAGAATGTAAGGGATGTCAAGGGTAGAGTTCGGAGTGGAAGAGAGACAGACGAAAGAGGGGTAGAAAGAGTAGGGCATGTAGCGATCAATCTAGATAGTCCGCAGGACGACGTCGCACATGAGGTGCATGATGTCGAAGGAGATCTGAGTGCGGAGGGAGACGACAGTTATGGTGACCTCGGGAACTGTGTGATTGACGATGACGACTGAGTCCTTGTCCCCTCAGCGAATGGTGATTGGGGAGTCATAGCCGGTTGAAGGTAGACCAGCTTTCCCGACACAGACGTCGGTAATGAAGTTGCCATTAGCCCCTCTGTCGAGGAGGGCCCAATACTTCACTGTCGATGCGCCGAGGGAGATGGATATGAACTTGAGCTGGAATTGGGCAGTTTCGACACAAGCAGCGAAGATCATGTTGTTGAGGTGGCGTTGTTCGGTGCATAGTCTAACAAGCCGGTCGTGTCGAGCTTGTTCCTCAACAACATCGGAGAAGGTAATGTAAGAGGGGTTAGGGAGAAGGGTAGAGGAACACGTGCTAGTGATGAGCTCGACCGACGGGGTGAGAGATGTCGTCGGGAGGGGGGCAGGCGGAGTAAGCTGCGACGCCTGAGTGTCATCCGGTGGGGTTTGCATCACCGGAGGTGGGGGTGGCAGACGGATCGTCGATGCCAATTGGGTCAGCTGACTAGTTGTCAATGCCGGGGCTATAGGCAAGGGGACGGTGTTCATGTGTGGGAGGGTCCCGATGTCGCGGATGGTGAGGTAGTGGATACGACGAGCCGAGGTCCCGTGGAGTGGGGAGCCTGCCTAGTGAACTGGCTAGCATTGGGGCAGCTGGTTTGCTGGCGGCCCAACTGATGACACCGAAAACAACCATTGTTGGTTTGGAGGTAGGCAAATTCATCTGGGGTGAGCTTCGTTAAGCGAGGGGGCGAGGTGGAAGAAGATGCGGTTCCCTCGCTCCATCCTGGGGAGATGGATGGTGTTGACTTCTTCTTGGGTAAAAGATGGGGGGTCGGTAGAGGTGGACTCGGTGTTAGGATCGGGTGTGGAGAACTCATCCGATATCATGGTGGAGCTGTCGTCGGAAGCAATGTTGTGGAAGAAACTTGTTCGGGAAGGGATGGAGGGGATGGCGGCCTTGTGAGTTGAAAGGAGACTGTCGATGTGGAGAATGCGGGAGAGAAGATCGGATAAGGTTGTGGTGGGTTCGTGGACAAGGGCGGCGGTGATTTCGCGGTTGGAGACCCACTTGAGGCGGGAGATGAAAGTGTCATCGGTGATTAGGTGGATGGGGATATGCTGTCGTAGTGAGCGGACATATTGGACGTAGCGGTCGGTGGGGCCGTTTTGTCGAAGGCGACAAAATTGGTTGATGTAATCATCGAGTCTTTCATGGGCGGAAGGTGGTTGTGATCAGTGTAGCCCACTCGAGGAAGGAGTACGAGGGTTGGCCGCTTTGTTGGCGGTTGGCGACTTCGGTGATCCACCAGCGGGCGGCGTTGGCGAGGAGTCGTGTACCGACGATGGGTAGCCAGTGGACAACGGGGACGGTGTGGAGATAGAAAGCTTGTTGGAGTTGGTTGAAGAAGAGAGATACATCCTCATTGGGGTGACCAGAGAAGGTTGGAATGTCGTTGGCCCGGAATGTGCGAGGGATGTCGCCATAACGGGGGACGTGGGAAGCGAGTGCGTTGAGGTCAAGGGTGCGTGAGGAGTTAACAAGGCGGGTGAAGTCCTGTTGAGGGTTTGTGGGGAGGAGGGTGTTCGGGGGATGTTGAGGAGAGCGGGGTGTGACATAGCAGTTACCTGGGAGTAGGTGGGCATCCGGAGGGAGGTGATGATGGATGAGGTAGAGATGGGTTTTGAGAGGGGAGGTGTGGGTAAGGATTGGGTGCCTAGGGGATGGAGCGGCAATGGGGCAATGAGAAGGGTGGATGCGGGAGGAGGTGAATGGGACACGCCGGTGATGGCCGTTGGGATGGAGGTGGTGGAAGCTGGGGGGGCGGATGGACCGGCGGTGGAAATGGAGGTAGAAGCGGTAGAAGTGGGAGTGGAGGTGGGAGGAGGGTGAGGTGGGGGCAGACTAGAACCCGATGTGGAAGTGGGAATCTTGGTGGTAACCACTTGGATAGAAGGGGTCGATGTTTGCTCCATGTTGACCATCCGGCTGGAGAGGCCGGAGATGGAGGTGGCGAGGGAGGTTTGGAGGGAACGGATTGCGTCTTGCATGGATTGCATCATGGTGAATAGGGAGGTGTTGGTGGGGACGATCTCAGGTGCGGGGTGTTCTGTCGTGAGGTCACAAAGGATGCTGTCAACGGATGCGGTGTCAATGGTGCTCATGTTGATGCTTCAGGAACCGTCCGCCATTGTGGAGGGAGAGGCCGGGGGCAAGGAAGTAGGTGTTGCGGTGGAGGCGGCGGGTGCAGCGGCGTTCTCAGTGGCCCAGGCAGCGGCACGCAGAGAAGTTTTGGTGCGGCGGGTCATGGAAGAGAAGTGTGAATTTTGCTGTTTTTTTTGGTATTAAATTGAATTTTTAATGCATTTTTAAAGGAAAATTTCAAAATGCGAGGAACGAGCCCTCACGGGCCCTTATCAGACATACAGAGGCCCCCAACAAGCCGAGTGCCCGCCCTAAGTGAAGGCGGGCCTGAATATTCATCATAGACCAAAATTCGACATTTTCATAAGTAGGTATTCAGGCTGTTGCAGCCTGCCAGTTGGTTGAGTGGACGCGCGAGCCTCACTTAGCTGCGTCGTACAGTTGGCCCAGGCCTTGGCAGTTGCGCCTGGACACATACACACAAAGCAGGGCCGATACATCATGGAGTGGCCACTGGCCTATGCAAAAACAGTACTGTCGACGTACCTACCCCGGGGTCCTGTGAACATGCAGCAAGCGGCCCAAGTCCGGAGACTCAGGCCGCGCCCAACAGTACTGTCGACGTACCTACCCCGGTCATGCTGCTGCGCTGCTGCATTGGATGCTGCACTGCGGCCAGTGCGCTTGCGGGGCGCGATGAGGTGAAGTGGGGCGCTGCAGGGCAGCGGTGCGCTGGCAGCCACAGCCGGGCTGCTGGGCAGTAGGGGGTAAGAGGGGGTGATCTGGTGGTCTTCGGGGAAGAAGGCAAGTGTGTGGGTGTTGCATACTGTAAAGGTGCAGACCAGAACAAGAACCGACCTCTCTAACAAAGTACAAGATAGCGCAGCGGAAAACTTAGATACCAATGATCCGAACAATCAATATTGCAATGCAGCCCCGAACATACATCATCATCATCACTCCATGGTGTGAAGGGGTCTGGCGCTCACACAGGAAGAATGCACCAGCCCCAACCATACACAGACGAAGAAGAGGGGGGTTAGACGAAGAAGAGGGGAAGATGGGAATGTC